TCACCGAGGTAGTGATCCCCAGCTAGGCCTAGCCTGGATTGATGCTTTTTTAATATTTGTTTTTTGTTTAGTTTGCAGTGGTATAAGGGGGACAGGGTCCCAGGAATTCTGTATGAGGTTTATAGTCTCTTTTAAACATAGAGCAAGCATGAGATGTTGAGTAATAAATAAGTTATATTACATAAATAGTGGGGAGTTCTTTTTATGTTCTGTGCACAACTCCCCCCTTTTGTCTTAATTTGAATTCAAGTTCCAAGGGCAAGTAGTTTTATTTGGAAATGCAGTAAATAGTAGCAGAAGAGTAGAGAAGTGAGCCAGGGAAAGGAAGGGTGACTTAGTGAGCCGGCTACTACTGGGGGCCATTGGAGTTGGGTTTTAGGGGAAAGGGTATAGAACACACACAGCGGTTACTCTGCCTAGGGACAGGGAAACTGGGTTATGGATACACCAACAACCCGCAGTCATTTGTAGAGGGCTGCTCCTACTGAGTATTCATTCCACGTAGCTGTCCGCAGACCCTGGGCTTTGGAGAAAGCCCTCAGGTGAAGGAGTAGGCACACTGGCAGCTGGAGATGAGGCCGGACATACAAAGCAGCAAGGCCTGAGAAGCTGAGAACTCTGGGAGTGAGTTGCTCCCGTTTCCATTGAAACCATACGTTACTTGAGTGCCATTGCTTTATCTTTTCTCCTTTTTGCCTGTTAAACTACTTATTTTCCTGAGGCTGGCTCAGTCTCAGATCTATCTTAACTTGACTCTTCTGTGAATTTCCGGGCAACTTGTTTCTCATAATGACACTTAGTGATTTCTACTTAATGGAATGATAGTTGTGTACCTACATGTTTTATGTTTTCTACTTGGCTTAAGCACCTTGGGGACCCAAGTGTTGTCTCACACATCTTTGAAAGCACCAGAGTGCCTGACATGTAACTTCTCTGTTAGTGTGTAATGAATACATCTTTCCCCTAACTAGTAGATTGCTTTGCAAAACAGCCTGTAAAAGGAAAACCTTTGGGCTCCTGAATTCCAGCTTTATAACTTCAACCAGATAGTGTCTTTTACTGCAGGAAGTTACCAGATAAACACTAAAGCCAGAACAATGAGAAGTCTTTTTTTTCTTCCCTTTTTTAAGTGTACATTTTAGTAGATTAATTATGTACATTCACATTGTTGTGTAACCATCACCGCTATCCATCTCCAGAACTTTTTTATCATTCCAAACTGAAACTCTGTGCCCACTAAACACTACCTCCCCATTTCCCCCTCCTTCCAGCCCTTGGCAACCACCATTGTACTGTCTATCTCTGGAATTCTAGGGGCCTCATATAGGTGGAATCATACAGTATTTGACTTTTTGTGGCTGACTTGTTTTAGTTAGCATAATGTCCTCAAGTTGCATCCATGTTGTAGCATGTGTCAGGTTTTTTTTCCTTTTTAAGTCTGAATAATGATAATTCCACTGTGTGTATTACTACCTTTTATTTATCCATTCATCTCTTGATGGACACATGAGTTGTTTCCACCTTTTGGCTTTATGAACAATGCTGCTATGAACATAACTGTACAACTGTCTCCTTGAGATCTTGCTTTCAGTTCTTTTGGATATATACCTAGAAAGGAAATTGCCAGATCATATGATAAATCTATTTTTTATTTTTGAGAACTGCCATACTATTTTCTGTAATGGCTGCACCATTTTACATTCTAACAAACGGCATAAAAGAGTTCCAATTTCTCTACATCCTCATCAGCATTTGTTATTTTCTATTTTATATATTTATTCATTTATTCATTTATTTATTTATTTTTGAGAAGACAGGATTTATTGAGAGGACAGAAAAGCTCCCAACAGTGGGAGGGGACCTGAGGGTGTTGCCTGTTTTTTGTATTAAAAAAAAAATTTTTTTTTTTTGAGTTGAGTGTCTCACTCTGTCATCCAGGCTAGAGTGCAGTGGCATGATCAGGGCTCACTGCTGACTCAGTCTCCAGGACTCAGGTGATCCTTCCATCCCAGTCTTCCAAGTAGCTGGGACTACAGGCTTTTACCACCATACCTGGCTAATTTTTTAAGACAAGGTCTTAATATGTTGCCCATACTGGCCATAAACTCCTGAACTCAAGTGATCCCCCTGCCTCAGCCTTCCAAAGTGCTGGGATTATAGACATGAGCCACCATGCTGGCCTGGAAACTTTTAAATCAAAGTTTAACAAGATTAGTCTTTGAGTTTCCTTGTCTTGAGCATGTTTGTATAGTGACTTGTTGAATCATCTGGGCTAGCAGCTTAGGGACTTTCAGGTCTGATCCAGCTTCCACCATTCGTTCACAGAGTAATTGTAGAGTCCAGTTTTCTTATTTTGCAGGTGAAGAAACTGAGCCCACTGTTTCTTCCACTGTGCCCTGGGCCGATCACCTAGCCTCTATGGATAGCATTTTCTTCATCTTTAAACCTATCTTCCTTTGGGAAAATTGATTTTATATAATTGCTAAGTATTTAAAATAATTTACATTAGGCATGAGGATGTGTCTTTGTTAGACATACATCTGTTTTGGAATTGTTTGGTGTTGTTTTCTTTTTTTTCTTTTTTTTTTCTTTTTTTTTGAGTTGGAGTCTCACTCTGTCACCCAGGCTGGAGGGCAGTGGCACGCTCCCGGCCACGGCAGCCTCGACTTGCTGGGCTCCGGCAATTCTTCCGAGTAGCCGGAATTACAGGCGCGCGCTACCACGCCCGGCTGATTTTTTGATTTATTGTAGAGATGAGGTCTCGCTGCCCAGGCGGGTCTCGAACCCACGGGCTCAGGCAATCCACTCACCTCAGCCTCCCAAAGGCGCGGGATTACAGACTGAGCCACCGAACCCGGCCTTGGTGTTGTTTTCAAATGCAAAGTTTCTTTAGAAAATATAGGCCTTTTTTTTAAAAAAAAAAAAAAAAAAAAGGAAAATAAGCAGATGGGGCCAAAAGGCAGGAAGTAATACTGACCTCAACTTAAAGTGAAACACTTATGCTAATCTTTGGAATAAATGAGCTCTCAGAGTTGCTCACTTGTTACTATTAGACTGTTTTAGATAATGCTTTTATGAGTACAAATCAGAGTAGGTCTGGCCTAATGTCCTATCTTTTTGAGATCAAGCAGTTTGAAGCTGCCACATAAAAGGGGATTGCTCATGCCCCTGGCACTGACTCATGGCTTTTTTGTCAATGGTATCCTGACCAGAGATGTCAGCAGGGAGGTTCAGGATGCTTGGCCTTGCACAAAAGGTCTCTGGGAAGCTCCTGTTTTTTAATTTTCTGCATTAAAAAAGTTTCAAATTGTGGAGAAATTTACATAACATGAGATTTACCATTTTAATCTTTTTTTTTTTTTTTTGAGTCAGTGTCTCACTCCAGCACCCAGACTGGAGTGCAGTGGCACTCTCACGGCCACCCCGGTGTCGACTTCTTGGGCTTAGGTGATCCTTCTGCCTCAACCTTCCAAGTAGCTGGAACTATAGATGTGCGCTACCATGCCCAGCTAATTTTTTTGGTATATTGTAGAGATGAGGTCTCACCAAGTTACCCAGGCTGGTCTCGAACCCCTGGGCTCAGACAGTCCTCGCCTTGGCCTCCCAAAGTGCTAGGATTACAGGCTTGATCCACCACGTCTGGCTTTAATCATATTTAAGTGTACAGTTCAGTGGCATTAAGTACATTCACATTGTTGTACATCCATTACCACCATTCAGCTCCAGAACTTTTTCATTGTCTCAAACTGAAACCCTGTCCCCACCGAACATGAACTCATTCTCCCTCCTCCCCACCCCTGGCAACCATCATTCCACTTTTTGTCTTCGTGATTTTGACTACTCTTAAGTATGTCATGTAAGTAGAATCACATAGTATTTATTCTTTTGTGACTGACTTATTTCACTTAGCAGAATGTCCTCACGTTTCATCCATGTTGTAGCATGTGTCCAAATTTCTTTCTTTTTAAAGTCTAAATGATATTCCATTGTGAGTATTACTACATGTTGTTTATCCCTTCATCTGTTGGTGGACACTTGGGTTGTTGCCATCTTTTGACTACTGTGAATGATGCTGCTATGAACATGGGTGTAGATATCTGTTAGGGTTCCTGCTTTCATTTCTTGGATGTATACACAGGACCGTAATTACTGGGTCAGATGATAGTTCCATGTTTGACTTGTTGAGAAATTGCCATACTGTGTTCTACATAGTTGAACCCTTATGCATTCTTACCAGGCATGCACAAAGGTCCCACTCTCTTCACATCCTGCCAACACATGTCTGGTTTTTTGGTAACAGCAATCTTAATGGGTGTGAAATCGTATTTTGTGGTTTTGATTTACATTTCTCTAATTTTTTCTAGTGATATTGAGCGTCTTTTCCTGTACTTATTGGCTGTTTATGCATCCTCTTTGGAGAAATGTCTGTTCAAATCCCTTGCCCTTTTTTGATTTGGGTCTTTTGTTGTTGTTGCTGCTGAGTTTTGGCCAACGACTCTTTTGATTTGTAAGTATTTTTTAACAGGCTGTGTGGTGCCTTATAAATACATGACCATTTATCTTGTTTATTTAAATAAAATCTCAGTGCTGATAGAGGTGTTATAAATCAATATGTTTATTATTATATATTGTATTCATTACTGTTATCATTATTTTGAGTCAGAGTCTCACTCTGTTACCCAGCCTGGAGTGCAGTAGTATAGTCACAGCTCAGTATAGCCTTCAGCTCCTGGGCTCGAGCAGTCCCCCTGCCTCAGCCTCCCGAGTAGCTGAGACTACAGGCATGTGCCACCATGCCTGGCTAATTTTTAAACAATTTTTTGTAGGGATGAGGTCTCACTATGTTGTCCAGCCTGTATTTGTTCTCGAACTTCTGACCTCAAGTGATCCTTCTGTCTCAGCCTCCCAAAGTACTGGGATTACAGGCGTGAGCCACTGTGCCCAGCCTGTATTTGTTATAATATATATGTAATATTATATATATATTTTTGTTCCAACAGTATATCCTTTCTGGCTCTGATGACTTCAACCTGTACATGTGGAGGATTCCTGCAGATCCAGAAGCAGGTATGTCCCTAGTATGAACCCATTCCTGTTGTTGGCTCTGTTGACCTTTGGAATGCTGTCACCCTGAGAAGCCAGATCTGTAGCAATAGAGGAAGCTATTTCTCTTTTAACATTTTAAGTAGTTTATTGGAAAAGTGACTGAAGGAAATTGTAAAATAAAAATTAAAAGCTAGATTTAATAACTGTATTCCTCAGGCATAGCTTTGTCTGCCATAAGTGGTGCTTAGGTTTTGCTTTTTCTTCTAGGAACCTCAGGTCTCATAGCTCTCCTTCATGTCCTTTATTTCCAGTCTCCTCCTGTTTCACACCTGGAGTATTTTTGTCTTGCTTTCCTTGCTTTTCTTTTCTCATCCACCCCCATATTCCTACTTATTCCCCTACATGCAATTGGTAGGACTCTAGCTTTCCTTTGGTCATGTGAACTAAAGGGGGGCTTTCTTTGTTGATGGACAGGTATGTTCCCTGGAGATTTGCTGACCCCAGACATCAAAGAAATAAGGAAGAAATATCTCTGAATGTGCTCTAGATACATCCTGAGAAAAGCCTGCAGCTTTCCATAAATTTGCATCGAAGACATCTGGGCTTTCAAATAGCATGAATCTTTCTTCATTCTTCTTAATAATGTCCTCACATGCTCAATGAGTGTTATCTACTGGTAGAAAAACATCTATTTTTAATACTCAAAACAGCTCAATACAGCCGTCTGTTCCAGGTGATACATGGCATTAAGCTGGAAAATGGCCATTCTGATATTTTATTAGATATTAGAGGGCTATGCCAGCATGTTGCACAAGATGTGTCCACAGTAGTGCTCAGGGTTTAGGGAAGTTTCTGGCTTTGCCTGTTGCTCAGTTAGCAATATTGTTAACAACATCTGCTTTGCAAAACCTGTTGAGGCCCACTTTTGGCTTAACTGCAGTTGCTGTGGTCTAGTTACTAAACAGGTTACAAAAGCGCCTTTCCCCTTCTACAGTGTGGAAAGCATGAGTGAGACAGCTCACCCTTGAAGCACAGCCAGATGGAGCAGCAGTGTCTACCTCAATAGAAAGGATGTCATCACACTAGAGGTCATTCTTGGTGAAGTCTCCCAGCCCATAAGCCCTAGATCAATTATCTGAGAAATAAGCTTTGGGCTTTTTATATTTTATTTTTTTATCTTAGAGTTGTGGGGTATGTGTGAGGATTTGCTACGTAAACAATCTTTAGGCTTAATTGTATCTTTTTCCTAATCTTGAAAGGCTTTTAGTTATTAAGTCATTATGACTTTTAAATAGAAAGTAGATAATGCCCTCTCTTCCCCAGGACTGTTTTCTGGACTTTTTCTCACATTTACATGGAAAGAATGGGAAAGCATTAGCAACAGTATTGGAGGTTTTTTCCTCTCCATGCTACTTCTGTACTGACTTAGGTATAGACCATCTAATCTGTCAGAGCTGTGATAACAAAATGTCACAGACTGGGGGACTTAAACAACAGAAATGTAATTTCCCACAACTCTGGAGGCTAGAAGTACAAGATCAAAGTGCTGGCAGGGCTGGTTTCTCCTGATGTCTCTCTCCTTGGCTTGGTGGTGGCCACCTTCTCACTGTGTTCTCTCTGTTCTCTGTGCACATGCATCCCTGGTGTCCCTTCCCTTTTTATAAGGTAGCTCTCATGTCACTTTCTTCTAAATGTCCTTCAGAGACAGTACCTCCAAGTTTATTTAGAAGTGATGTCAGTTTCTTTATTTTACCGATTTTTCTCTCCTTTGAATTTGTCCTACCTCTGTTTAAAGAATAACTGAGTAAATCTGGCAGATTAGTCTGACCAGTCCAGAGAAAAATCAGTGGCTCCTTGATACTAAAGTATGCTACACGGTGTTTCATAAAGTCCACCCAGTATCACATAAGTCTTTCTGGAAGCCACAGAACCCATGATCTACTTACATTATGCTTAGAATTGGCCAGAAGCCCTGCCGTTTCCACACAGGTTGTGGTTGGTTCTGGGTTCTCATTCTTTTTTTTTTTTTTGAGTTGGAGTCTCACTCTATCGCCCAGACTGGAGTGCAGTGGCCGCTACCAGCCACTGCAGCCTCGACCTGCTGGACTTCGGTGATCCTTCCACCTCAGCCTTCCGAGTTGTTGGAACTACAGGCTCGCGCCACCACACCCGGCTAATTTTTTTTATTTTTAATTTATCGTAGAGACGCAATCTCACCAAGTTGCCCAGGCGGGTCTCGAACCCACGGGCTCAGGCAATCCACTCACCTCAGCCTCGCAAAGTGCGGGATTACAGGCTGAGCCACCAAGCCCGCCTGGTTCTCATTCTTTACTTGGTATTTGGGTTTCTTTGTACCAGGGACAGGATTATGATTATTCCTCTTGTTGGATTTACTAACTAGTAGTTGAGGAGTTTGTTTGTATCACTCTTTGGCATTACATCATCAATTACAGCAAGTCTGTCCCTTTGATCGTCATTTTGCTCTGCATGTAACCAAAACACCTTTTAAGATTATTTTTAGCAAGTGTTGGCTCATTTGGAGATTCAGCTTTCCTGCCACTATTCTGATAGACCCAACCACATTCTTTTTTTTCTTTTCATTTTTCTTTTTAAGAGTCAGGATCTCCAGCCTAGGCTGGAGTTCAGTGGCTATTCACAGGCATGATCATAGGGCCTTTGAACTCGTGGGCTCAAGCAGTCTTCTTGCCTCAGCCTCCCATGGTGATAGGCGTGTATCACCATGCTCAACCTCTTTTCTTGTTTATGAATCTTTTTCTTTGTTTTTCCTTATTGTTCTTTTTTATGTTACGACCTCTGCTATTTTTGTAATTATGTACTTCTTTTTATAAAAGCAATACAGGCATGTAATTTTTAAATCAAATACTATTATAAAACTTGTTTATTTATATATATATATAAATTTTTTTGTTTTTTTTTGTCTCACTCTGCCACCCAGGCTAGAGTGTGGTGGCATACCCACAGCCACCACAGCCTCGATCTGCTGGGCTCAGGTGATCCTTTCATCTCAACCTTCCAAGTAGCTGGAACCATAGGCATGCGCCAATACTCTCAGCTAATTTTTTGATTTATTGTAGAGACAAGGTCTTGCCATGTTGCTCATACCGGTCTCCAAACCCGAGCTCAGGTAATCCTCTCACCTCCGCCTCCCAAAGTGCTGGGATTACAGGCGTGAGCCACCGTGCCCAGCTATAAAGCTTATTTATAAAGCACAACAGTCCCTTTCTCTTCCTCTCTCCATAATATGCTCATAACATTTTTGAAGTTTCAATTTTGGACTTCTCTATTGACTTTCTACTACTGAAATCAGTTTTCCAAAAGAAAAATCTTCAGTTTCTTACCTGGAGAGAATTTGCCTAACAGTTAAACCATGGTCCTCAGAACCATGGGGATTAGGACTGTGGGTTTCATAAATCTATATGCAGATTTTTGTTTAATCCCACCCACAGCTGTGCCCTGTGTCTCCAGTCTAAAACATTTTTAGGTCAATTCCAAATGGCAACATCCAGGCCTTTGCTTATGTGGGAACAGGGCAGTTTCCTGGTTGTGTGGGCTCAGGAGAGGAGTGTGACTGCTCTTTAAACATGTATTCAATTCATCCTGCTTCCAACCCTACTTTTCAGCCTTGCTTCAGGGATACTTGGTAGCTCTCATTTTATATGTAATATCTCTATTTTTAAATGTTGGCAATTAATTCATAGTTGTAAAAAATATTCAAAATATCTAAGGGCTAGATGCATCCTTTGTGTTCTAGCTTTGAATGCTTAGATGAGAAAATCTTGTCTGAAAACTCCTGACTTTTAAACAATTATGGGGTGAGGACAGTGCATTCTCTCACTCTCTTTGTCTCTCTCTCACTGTCTCTCTCTCTCTCTCTCTCTCTCTCTCTCTCTCTCTCTCTCTCTCTCTCTCTCTCTCTCTCTCTCGCTTTCTGTCTCTCTTCATACCTGTTGAGTGTTAAGATATCAAGATAGGCTAATAGGGGAAAGCTGGCTTGCTGTTACATATCTTAATGGCATAATCAGAACTTGACTCTCTAGATGACAAGCAGTCAGCATTTATTGAATGCCTGCTGTGTGTTTTGCTGTGTGTGCCAAACACAGAGGGAATTAAATGGCATGCAGTCCTGTGTGCCAGCCAAAGGCAAGAACATCTTTTTTTCTCCACACTACTGTTCAGAAAGACTGCTGGCCTTTTTTTTTTTTTTTTTTTTGCTACACAAACATCAAAGAGATGAAATTTATTTACATAAACAAAACTAACTTAATGAATAGGATAAGTCATTCACATAGGACTTCTAGTGGGGTGAGAAGGTGATTTTGAGATGTAAGACCTATACCCACTATAAAACTTTCTACTTGGCAAGATCAGGTCCGATTTTTAGTTTATTTAATATAATAACTCATTTCTAAAAAAAAGTCAGAGGAAGGAATAGAACTAGGAATTTTGCTGTGGCAAAGGAAAAGTTCATCAGAACATATGTTTTACACCTCTGAAGTAGGTAGGAAGAACATCTGTTTTTATGTGGTAATTCTGAAACAAAGTGAAAAGTGAATATACCAGCAGTTTCATACAGAGCCAGTATTGTTTGTAAAAAGGAGCATGAAGCTTAAAATCCTACCAGGGCTGGGTGCAGTGGCTCAAGCCTATAATCTCAGCACTTTGGGAGGCCGAGGCAAGAGGATTAACTGAACCCAGGGGTTCAAGACCAGCCTGGGCAACTTGGTGAGCTCTCATCTCTACAATAAATCAAAAAATTAGCCAGGTGTGGTTGTGCATGCCTGTAGTTCCAGCTACTTGGAAGACTGAGGCTGAAGGATTGCCTGAGCCCAGCAGGTCGATGCTGGGGTAGCCATGAGCGTGCCACTGCAAAAAAAATCCTACCTGGATTCAAGTCTTCTAACTTGTACTTAACTGCTACTAATCAGATGACTGAGTGATTCTAAGCAGTTTATATAACAATAATTGTCTGAGCCTCAGTTTCTTCTGTAAAATGCCCCACT